CGCCCATGGGCCTCCTTACAAGAGAAAGTGCAGACCTAGATGCACATGTATGCTTATGTACGTATGTATCTGCCTATACAAACGGATTTACATCTGCAACTATATGGAGGTATGTATGCATACACATGCTTGGTGATCCGCTCCAATACAAAAGCAGTTTCCCTATCCAGCTGCCTGCAGCAAGTCCCGCCACCGTGCCAGCCCAGCAGTCTGGGTGGTGGCGACGGCTCGAGGAGCGCCCAGGAAGCCGTAACGTTTGACACCTCTTGTCCCGATGGTTGGGAGAGCAGTGAAAGGTGGCACGCTGTTCCGCTTCGTGGTGGCGTGTCTCTCCTCAAGTCCGTCGTCGTCTTACTCCCTTCCTCTTCTTCTCTCCTCTCTTGGGGCCGTCTTGGAGACCTCTTGGGGGAGTCTTGGGGGCCTCTCGGAGGAGGGTGGCGCGTTGGGCAGTTTGGGGATATTCTTGGACAGTCTGGCGCCTTTGAAGTCCGTCCTCGGAGCTTCACCAGGCCGTCCTGGGGCCTTCTTAGGAGCCCTGAAGGGTCGCCTTGGGGGGTCTCTTGGGCCGTCTTGGGGCCTCCTGGGGCCGTCTTCGAGGCTTCTTCGGCCATCTTGAGGCCTCCGGGGGCCGTCTTGAGGCCCTCTTGGGGGCCTCCTGGGCCATATCAGGGCCATCTTGCAGACCCGTTGGGTCGCCGCGGGCCGTCCTTGCAAAATTCAGGTTCCTTCGTGAGTCTGACCTCTTCGGGCCCACCTGTGGAGCATCGCGGGTTGCCCTGAAGTCATCACGGGCAATATTGGGGCCATCTTGGGCCGTCTTAGCGGTCCTCTTCGGCTACCTTGGCGGCCCTGGTGGCCGGCCTGGCCCGGCCTGGGAAGCGGTCCTGGGCACCTCGGACGCCGTGGACAGCGCACGAGCGCAGCCGAGGCGCCCGGGAACCCCCAGGGGAGGGGGCGGGGCGAGGCGCGCAGCGCCGCAGAGAGAAGTGCACACTGGTCATTTCCAATTGTCCGACAATTCTTTCATGATTTGGGAGGCTAAGATCCTGTCGTTTCTACTTGTTCTATCCCGGCCACGAGGGAGCCAGGAACAATGAGAAACGAGCACAGTTAGAAGTGAGCACGATGAGAAATGAGCGAGGTGTGCTGGGAGAGGCGGGGGGGGGGCTCACAGGATTGCAGGAACCGTGCCAGACAGCCCTTGGCATTCGAACACGCCCCCGCGCTGCGGGCACGACGGCGGGCACATCGGGAGCGGATCCGACACGACTTGAAAGTAGACCAGGAAGGCTAAGGGCCCGAGCGCCCCGGGGGAGGGCCGAAGCGGGCCCCGGGAGAGGGCCCGAAGAGGCCCGCAGGACGGCCGCGACGGGCCAAAGGTGGCCCTCCGTAGCCATTTTTGACTCAAGACAGGTAGGGCTCTAGCTGCATTGAATCCAGCATCGTGGAGTTTGCATGTGTCTAGCTGCATTGGACCCAGCATCGTGGAGTTTGACTCGGACAGGTTGGGCTCTAGCTGCATTGGATCCAGCAGCGTGGAGTTTGCATGGTGCTGCCGCCGCCCATCACGGGTGGCCGCGTTGCGCGCGCGGTGGCCCCCTGCATTCGTCGAGCACCCCCGGGCCTCCCTGTGTTCAGTCTGTTGCGTTTCTGCTTCGTCTCGCCAGAACCAACCAGGCAGGAGTTTGAAGCGCAGTCAAAGATATGCGCTGTGACATGCACGCGCATATCGCAGGAGCAGATCGCAATGGCCCAATCCCCGCCTCCAAGATCACGGCGACCCAAGCGTCTCAGCATTGTTGTCGACCCGACACCTGCAGAGCTTGGACATAAGAGATGTGCAAGGTGTGGTTTTGACAAGGCGCCCAACCAATACCACAAGGACCGAAACCGAAAAGATGGACACGCCTCGTATTGCAAGAAGTGCATTTCCGAAGCAGGTCGGCAATGGAGAAATACACTGCGCGGCACCGTCTGTGGCTTGGTGTCAAATGCCAGGCACTCCAGCAGGGCCAGGGGCTTGAGTTTCAACATGTCCTTCGAAGACGTGCTGCGCATGTTGTCGAAGCAGTCAGGCCTCTGTTTCTACTCGGGGATTCCGATGGAATGCTGCGTCCCAAATTCTCATTGGCGAATGTCCCTGGAACGCGTGGATAATTCCGAAGGGTACACTGTGAGCAATTGCGTGCTCATAGCAGCCGAATTCAACTCTGGGGATGCGAGCCGAAACAAGCGGGGTGTTCACAAAGTCTGTGGTACAGCGCAATGGTCAAGACAGAAAGTGTCTGACGTGTTCACGCTACGGAACCTCAGCGTTGATTGTGCCAGGCTGGAGAGGTTGATTGGCGAGGCGCGCTCTCCACATTGTGGCCGACAGCATGTGGGTCGAGAAGCTTGGGGTGCGGAAGTGTGTGCATCACATTTTTATTGTGACCAGTGCACTGAACAGCAAGGCAATCGCCCCTGCATCGATATATCCCTCCATTGCGTTGGTTGCAAACGAGCAACCACCTTCAAATATAACCGCACACTCCGAGGCAACATGATGCGCTTGATGGTAAGAGCCCGAAGCAGAGCCCTTAAGCGAGGACATGGGCTCGATTTGAATTTGGACATATTGTTGGACAAATTATTGCAGCAGCAGGGGCGTTGCTACTACTCAGGAGTTCCACTACAGTATCTGACCCCGAACTCAGATTGGCGAGTGTCGCTCGAGCGTCTGGACAATGCATTGGGATACACCGCAACAAATTCAGTCCTCGTTGCACATGAATTTAACACATCCGACTGGAGCCGTGGCAAATTGACACATGCGGTGCGAGGGACTGCACAGTGGTCCAGGGAAAAAGTTGATCTCGTCTGGGGCGGCACGCGCACTTGCATCGCGCAGGCAACTAGCTGCACAGCGTTACGGGAAGAAGGACGAACAAAAATTGCCAAAGGCCGTCCAATATGGTTACAAGATTGAATGCAAGCTTCCCCACGGTCAGAGGCGAACCGAAGAGGATCCTCAACAACCATCAGCGATTTCCCCTCGCTGTTGCACGACTTGGGCACGTTCGTGTTCTCGGTCTTCAGAGCCTCCAAGACGAAGACGGCCCAAGAGGCCCAAAAGGTCGCGTCAATATGGCCCATGAGGCGCCTCAGAAGCCCCAGATAGGAGCCCAGGATGGGCCCAAGGCGGCTCAGGAGCGGCCTTGAATAACCTAACTTCCAGACCACCCCAAGAGATCCTGAAGACGGTCCAGAGTGGACCGAGCCGGCTCAACAGCCCCCAGGCGGCCTCGGATTGGCCCTATCAGACCTCTAGGACGGGCCCACTCGCAACGCTGGACTTGTTTGGCGAACCTGCGTGCTGCAATATAGGTTGCAACGCATGTTGTGCAATCCATGTCGTGCAGCCTATGTGGTGCAATATGTGGCATCATATTGTTATATATCTGGTTGTGGTGCATTATATGTTGCGCGATCGATGTGGAGCAACCGATGTGGTGCAGACAATGTGGTGCAATCTATGTTGTGCAGCATCTGTTGTGTCCTATGTGTGGTGCATCCTATGTGGGGCAACCTATGTGCTGCAATCCATGTTGTGCACTCTGTGTGGAGCAGTTGATGTGGTGCACTCTATGTGGTGCCGTCTGTGTTGAGCGATCGACGTGATTCAGCCTATGTGGCGGCGACGGGGCGGCGTCGGCGACGACATAGCCGCCAGACCGCCAGCCAGGCCCAGACGACGGGCGGCGACGGGGAGGCGTCGGCGACGACATAGCCGCCAGACCGCCACGCAAGGCCAGACGGGTGGCGACGACGGGGCGGCGACGGCGAAGACATAGCCGCTGGCCCGTCACGCAGGCACCGTTCCTTAGAGCAGAAGTAAGCACCCCTTATTGGAAGCACTGCTAGGGAACACGGCACACAATGTGTGTATACATATACAAATACATATACATATACATATACAGATACATATATATATATATACACATACATATATAGTACACACACATACAGGGAGAAAGGGAGAGAAAGAGAGAGAAACAGAGAGAGAGAGAGATTGAGAGGCAGAGAAAGGGAGACGGAGAGAGACAGGGAGAGAAAGAGAGTCATTCGGCCCATCTCGCCACTCAGGAGGCCCCCAAGACAGCCTCGTGGCGATCTTTGGGTCATACAAGTACCGAAGGTGCTCCGACGGTTTGCGCATCTTGGGCCCACCCCTGGAGCCCCCAAGAGGGCCCAAGCGGCCGCCAAGATTCCCTCCAGGGCGGTCCTTACAGGCCGACTTAGACCCAGACGTGCGATGTCCTGATGTGTTCCAATACTGGGTCCCCAGAAGTCCCGACCCGCTCCCCAGGACCAGCTTTTCATCCTGAGTCGTTTTTGGACGACCCTGGGGACCGACGAAGGGTCCCCAGAGGCCGAAAAAACGGCCGCACGTTCCCCGTCTTGATTTGTGCCACGACGCGAGCACGTCCAGGGAAGAGGAGGAGGAGGAGGAGGAGGCGGAGGAGAGGAGAGAAGGAGGAGGAGGAGGCAGAGGAGGAGGGAGGAGGAGAGGAGGGAGGGGGGTGGGGAGGTGAGAGGGAGGAGGAGGGGAGGAGGAGGAGAAGGAGGAGAAGGAGGAGGAGAACAGGCTGAAAGGTCAGGCCAGCGGCCACGCTCCCAGGGCCTCGGGGAGAGGCCCGCGCGCATTCCCAGGGAGCGCCCGCGAGAGCGCGCGCGCGCGCCCGCACCCGGGAGCGCCCGTGGCTCCGGGGCCTGGGCCGTCGAGCGCAAGGAGTGTTTGAAGTGTTCGATGCGGAGACGCCGAAGGGGCCGGAGGACACTCAACCCAGTGCCTGCGGCGCGGTGGCGTGCAAATAATATGTTTGATCTGCACGTATGCAGGCACACACCCCGATGTGTGTATGTATATATATATATATATACACGTGTAGATGTATGTATGTATGTTTGTATGTATGTTTGTATGTATGTATGAATGGATGGAGGGATGGATGGATGGATGGATGGATGGATGGATCTACGTACGCACAACTGCATTGGCGCGTCGCGCCACGCGCCTTAGTCCTTCAAGTGTCGCACCCTGCCGGTATGCTATATGTACTTGTATGTGTGCACAAGCATAGAGACAAGGTTGGCGGAGAGAGAAGCAGAGAGAGAGAGAGAGAAAGAGAGACGAGTAGTATCGCCCCCGTTGTCGTTGTCGTCGCTCTCTTCCTTTTCCTCAGTCTCCCTTCCTTCCTCTGCCTTCTTCCTCTTCCTCGTTCTCGCCCTTCTTCGTGAACCCTTCCCCCGTCCTCCCCCTCAGTCGTTGTTGGCGGAGGCTCCTCTTTGGGAGCTCTCCAGAAGGACTCTCGAAGGCTTCTCGGTGGCTGCTTGAGGGCCTCTGGAGGCCTTCTCCGAGCACTTCGGAAGCCTATCGGGGCTTCTTGGGGCAATATTATTGGCAACCGCGGTTTCCCTCAACGACTGGGTCCCGACATGGAGTGCGTGGGGGGGCGTCTCGGTGTCAATTTTGGCTGTCTTTGGGAGTTCTTGGGGCCTGGTTGGGCTGTATTGGGTCCCTCTTCGACAGTCTTGGGGCGATCTAGGGGTTTTTGTTGGCCGCCTCGGACGCCCAGAAGACCCAAGAAGCGGATGTCGCCAAGTCATGCCACAGAGCCGTCGGACAACAGCAAACAATGTTTGCTGCCAGTTGGAAGGCCTCTTGTGGGTCTTGTTTGGGACGCTTTGGGGCGTTTCGGGGTCTCTGGGGCCGCCCGGGACTTCCGCGGGGCGGGTTGGCCGCTCGCTCGACCGCTGTGGGCCCGCTGGCTTGGTTCGGCAGGGGCGCCCGGGAGGCCCGGAGAGCCTGGGGGACCCTGGCACGGGCGTCGGAGGGGCCCTCGAAGCCAGGGACCCAGCCAGTCTGGTGTTTTTGTTGGGGCGGTGCGTTGTTCGAAGGGCTTCGGGTCCGCAAGATGCATGAATCGGAAGATGCACACGCATGTGAAAAGTTACTCCTGCGCAGCTGCACTTACCGAAGATGTTGGTCCACATGCGTGTGCCGTGCGCCACGTAGCGGCACGTGCAAAAGCAAAGTGGCAGTGCTATCTCACTGCACGTATACAAGCACATGTGCATGCCGACCTGGAACGTAGTAGACTCGTCCCCTCTTGACGGCTGGAACGTAGTAGACCCTTCCCCTCTTGACGTAGCCACGTGAGGCGTTCCAAAACGAGCGTTGCCTTCAAGGGTCGTAGGAGTTGTCATCTCTTCCTCGGCGGAGGGCGGCGGAAGTACGGCGGAAGTAAAACGAGGTCGCCTCCGCCGGCGGCGGAAGCCGACGGAAGCTCGGCAGGTGGAAGTAAAAGATGTGCCCCAACGAGATGGAAACGTTTCTGGGCTCGGTGTTTCCGAAATCGCCCACGTCGGGAGTAGCTCTCACTCCATGTGGCCGATTTCGGACACCCTGAACCCAACAGTGTTGTCACCTCCGGGGGCGCGTCCTTCACTTCCGCCGCCGCCCGCCACCCTTCCGCCGGCGGAGGCGGCCTCGTCTTCTTCCCGCCGACCTTCCGTTGCCCTTCCGCCGCCTTCCGCCGAGGACACGGTGACAGCTCCTCTTCGATCCCCGAGGGGGGGCGTGCCGACAGGGGCCTCGCCTGCGGCGCCCCCTCGCCCCTGGCGGCGGCGGGCCGGCAGAGAGGCGGCGGAAGCCAGGGCGGGCTGGCCGGCGGAGCCCGGCGGAAGGCGGCGGACGTCCATCGGCGGACGCGCAATGTTCAGTCGGGCACGTCCCGCTACAGGAGGAAAATTCAAAAAATAGTCCCAGAGTAGTATGGGGGCGATTTGTCCGGCTTTTTTTCGCTATGTTTGAATATGTTTGGACAATGTTTTAAAATGTTTCGTCCAAAATCCGCCTGTAGGGGGACATGCCCGACCTAAGCGTAATGGGGGGGCGATAAAAGGGGAGCAGCGAGGGCTGCTGAGAAAGGGCGCCCTTGCGGGCCCAAATGGGGGGCCTTCAGGGCCCGAAGACGGCACCTTCCTTCCCCCCCCATCTATCGCCCACCCATCCAGTCGCGCCCAGTCACACTGAGGCGTCATCAGTTCGGGATCCAGGGTTTCTGTTGGCGGCGAGCCCGGGGGGGAAGTGAGAAGGAGAAGGCCTTCTTCGAAGGCTCGGAAGTTCCCCGGCCGTCGGAGAAGTTTTCTAAGCCTTCCCCGAAGACACAGAAAACCTCTCAGAAAGCCGGAGGGCTTCTGAGAAGTCCCGCCGCCTTCTGAGAAGGTTTTCTCTGTCTCGCTTTCCCCCCTCGTTCGCCGCCGATTTTGGGGACCCATCATTTGTTCATGTGAATACCCACGCATGCTTCATCCAGCATGAATGTACTACACTAGCATGTCGTGGCGCACCAGACGGAACTCAGTGATGATTGCCGGCCAGGGGCATCAAGGAGATCCAGACTGCCATGTGACCTCCACCCTGAGTCATCGCCGACGCTGCGGCATGGATGGCCAGCCTTGCAGGAGATGGGCACGGAATAGGGGAAGAGTGCCGGGCTCATTCGGTCTAGGACAGATGAGATATGAATGATTGTTGGTTTGCCGCTCTATATCCTTGTACCACGTCAGGTCATCTTAGACTGGCGTCAATTTCAGATTTTCCTTTTTGGCAGGAACCAGACTGGTAAGTCTCGGGGGCAGAAGAGCAACACGTTGTTAAGGTGTTCGTGCAATGTGGCATCTGTCCTATGGGAGGGCCAGGAGAAGTATGGGAGGCTAGAACCAGGAAACAGTGTGGTCAGGACGGTGTAGGAGTGGCGGATGAGGTCGAAACGGGCAAAAAAGAGAAGGAAAGCTAGGGCAGTGATGAGGGCGAGGAGGAATGGTATGGGGGGGATGGGGAAGGGTAGATAGGGGAGGGGAGCATATGAATGGGGGGAGGGACAAGTAAGGTAATAGTGATTAAGCCAATGATGAGGGCGCAGTGGCGAATGTTGGGGTGGAGGGGAGAGCGATGATATGGAGGTGCAGCAACTACGCAGCGCCTCCAGTGTTGAATTCGTGCATCGAGTGGCGGGCTTATGTGCTAAGCACCCGCTGATGTTTTGCACACTTTCTTGAGAGGCCACATGGGTCGGATTATTTGCAACACCCCACTCCCAATTCCCCTCCTCGTCCCCCCCCCATCCTCTTCC